TGAAATGAATAGAAAATTCAGTTTTTAAATGATGATGTCATTTCTTACAGGAAAAAAGTGATCCAAACCTACCTGGTCCTGTGTGAAAAACTAAATGCTAAATTAACTGTGATTAACTACCGAGTTCAGTTTCACGAGCTCTTATTATTGTCAGACCTGCTGCATGAAGAAAATATTCTGTGAATTGATGACTCAAAAGGTGAACTTTTTGGAAGGTTTTAGTCCAGTTACATGTGTTGTAAAACTTACACAGCATTTCAGAAAAAGATCATAGGAGCAGCCAATCATGGGGGTGGTAGTGTGATGGTCTGAGGCTGCTTTGCTGATTCAGCACCTGGATCACTAATTGAAGTTACCATGAATTCTGCTCTCTACCAGAAAGTCCCGAGGAAGAACATCTGGCTGTCAGTTCGTGCCCTGACGCTGAAGTGTATTTGGGTTATGGAGCAGGACAATGACCCAAAATAAACTTTGGATGAATCAATAAAGTGAAGAAAATATGCGGCTCATGTTTGAAAACCCTCTAATGTGGTTCAGTTGAAACAATTCTGCAAAGAGGAGTGGGCCAAAATTCATCCACAGCAATGTGAAAGACTCATTGTCAGTTATCAGAAATGCTTGATTGCAGTTCTTGCTGCCAAGGGTGGCACAACCAGTTATTAGGTTTAGGGGGTAATTACCTTTTCAAACAGGCCCATGCATAACTTTTCCCCTTAATAAATGAAATCATAATTTAAAAACTGCATTTTGTTTTTACTCGTATAATCTTTGTCTAATTAGTTTGACGATCTGAAACATTTAAATGTGACAAATATGCAAAAAGCTAAGAAATCAGGAAGGGTGCAAATACTTTTTCACTGCACTGTAATTTCATGCATCAGAATTATTTACCACCATAGTTGGAGACTAGATGTGTATTTTGGAAATAACAGAATAAGTAATAAAGACACTCATTTAGGAGTATCACACTCCAACCATGTTATGTTACCGTCAAACCAGAGTAAACCAAGTGTTTTAGACTGCAGACCTTTAGTCTTCCTGCTTTTTTGTGAGTGTTAACCCTTTATTATGAAGGAAGAGTTTCAACTTCCTGTCACAGTCTGGCTAAGTTTGACTGACTTGTCGAAATTTCCAGTTTACAGACACAGGAACTTATCTGCTGTTCTCAGTCTGGTTTAGTGTGGTTCTAAAAAGGTCCAAACATCAGATATGAGAGGTGAGAGACTAAAATAAAGTCTCCCAGAACACTGTGAGTCATGTCATCAGTTCCACAACACATGTACATACTTTTGTCTTCAGGAAATTAACTTTGTGTGCTATTAATACAATCAATACCATACAGTATTCCTGTTCTTGCTTCATCTAATAACTGTGGATTCAAATATGTCTGTGGAAATGTGATGTGTGTCAGTGTCCTTATTTGCAGGTAGAGTTAAAAATGTGTTCGTCTATCTTGATGCACCTTCCAGGCTGTAAACTGGCTTATGCAACGGGGTATAACAGGAGGTTTGTGTGCTGTGTGCTCATTCAGTGCTGGGGTTTAAGTATTTAATTAGTACCAAAGCCAGCTCTGGCTAATCTTCTCAACACTGACTCAACATGTGACCTGGTAATGTTAAGGCCAATCAATAGCCTGAGCAATTCAAACAAAGACAATGTCAGCTTTGACTCGCAGTAGGTATACATGCATGCGGTCCCATGTTTTCGTTATGGTTTGAAGCAAAGTTTCTAGGTGGTTTCTGCTAGCATGGTCTCTGTTGGTTTCTACCAAACTGCTTTAAAACAAGTAAAAACACAGCCTCCAGATCATGCCTCCACAGTGTTTCCATGCCTTATAGAAACACTTCGAGCCCAGAGCGCACAACCCAGCACACATCCTATGTTACACAGACACTGATTTAGGTTTGCGATTGTCCTCTCCAGCACAGTTTATCCTCATTGAGTGCTGCAGTCAGTGTCCTGCCTGCAAACAGGCCTACTCTACCCTCTGCAGATGAACAGATGAAGCTCTGGAAGTGGGACAGGGGCTATTTGGACAGGAATTAAGGGGTGTGTTAAATTTCTGCATGCATGATCAATGGGGTTGAATGGTGGGGTTGGTGGTGGGTGGGGGCTAACGCTAGGCAGAGGCAGAAACAGAAACCGAGGGGGAGAGAGAGAGCTAGCGAGCAATGGCTCACTAATGAGAGATGGACAGCGTGGATTGTATCTCATTACCAATCAACATAGCTTTGAGTTCTCCAGAGAGGGAAAATGCAAGCTCTAATGTGTGCTGCATGTGTTCCTTTTTGATAAACCCAGCTTGTGTGGTGGGGTATTAGTCACAGCGGTATCTGAGCTGCTGGAAATCCACACACAACTGCCCTCTGTCCGTTTTGGTGAGGAGTTTCCTCTGAATAGTACAATGGGACTTAATTACAGGTCACTGGCATGTCTCAGGGAGATAGAGGCAGCTCTGTTACCCTTCCAAATACAGTATAATGCCATCTTCCCAAGGGTGGGGTGGGGTAACAGGAGCTCAACACAAAAAGGTGCTGATAGGCCGAACCTGAGAATAGTATTAGGTGATCCAGGCAGAGAAAGTGAGCATTTTACAGTGTAAAGAGAAAAGAGGAAAGATAAAAGACTACATTAACTCTCAAAGGTTTTCTCCCATTCAGTTTGCCCTCTTTCCTTTCCAGTTCAGTTCCAACTTAGTCTTCCTGCCAACTTATGTTGTCAAAAAACAAGAGGGTGGATTAAAAAAAAGAGAGGGAGAGAGCGGGAGAGACAGGGGGAAGCCAAATCTATGGAAACAATAATATTATTCGAATTCAACAGCCGAACAGTTTAAAGTTTAAACATTAGAGATGGGAATGGTGAACCACTTTCAAGTTGTCCAGTATACCGGAATCATATTTCTCCAAGCATATAAATTTCTTTATCAACGCACAGATGTCAAACTCAGCAGTGATTTCCAAGCCTTTGTCCATCTATAATTTCCACAAAGAAAACTGATCAAGAATTAATAAGGGACTCAATAAAGAATCAGATCTATAGTCAAAAATCAATAAGATTATATTTATATCAGAAATGCAAAATGCAGAATTTGCATAGGCCTACTGCTGTATTTTAAAAAAAATGTTTTGCATGCTTTGCATAGAATTTCAGCTTTGCAGCTGACGTGCACGTTTTCTTTGTTTCATTTCATAATGTGCCAAATATGCAAGCAGCCTGGTTTAGCAGCACCCTGCAGATGTGCAGGGTTGCACTGTCGTGCTAAAATAATCACGATGGCAGCAGTTGATGCTCTAAAAGCTGTAGATTTGTATACATCGTTCAGCATTAATGGTGCCCTCACAGGTGCTCTTGGTTACCTCATGCCATGTGCAGTCATGCGCTCCCTGTACTGAACTGCGCGCTGAAAACACACCAGGTGGTCTCTCTCCTCAGTTTTGAATTTCACAGCCCACAGGAAAGTTTTCCACTTCACTTGAGGCTGTCTTAAAAGCAGTAAGGCCCAGAGAAGGCAGCAGTGTTTCTGGGTCTTGTTTTTAGATGCATGGCAGAGTTGAACTTTTATTTGTGGATGCATGATGACTGTGTTCACTGGTGGTGGTTTTCAGAAGTGTTTCTGAGCCCATGCAGTGATTTTTCACTACATAATTATGTCTATTTTAATCACAGACACTCGACATCAGTTTTTGTCCTTATGCACAAAGAATGCAGAGATTTTTCCCAATTTCACTGAAGAGTTTAAAGTAAGTTGGATTATTACATAGTTAAAACACGGAATAAAATACACGTGGTCTAAACCCCTTCCCATATTTACTTCTACAAGATTCATCACTGGGGTGCTCTTTGGAAATTTTGCTAACTAACATAATTAAATGTAAGATATTAAAACAGGCGTCTGGGCCTTTTTGCATTACACTTGTCCAATTTCTTGTTGCACTTTTCTTAGCTCTTTCTGGGATGTGCTGCTGGAATCAGATTAGAAATAAGCACATGTATTTCAAACAAGGAAAAAGAAAGAGAAAATCTTGCTCCTTTTTTTAAAGTTTAATTTGTGAAATAGTCACAAGTAGTCGATGATGTCCAAAGTGTTTAACTTGTGCACATTGATTTAAAAAAAGGGGGGGGAGCACAGTGTTACAGGTCGACCTTAAAGCACTCTCTCAGTAAATGTGGAAATGTTTTAGGAAACTGATGTGCCAACTTATTCCTTTCTTATTCTTTGTCCTTTCTTGTCTTGAACTCATGTTCATGACAGAAAACACTCCACCGAGGCCCCTAACATGAAGCAACTTCCTGAAAGTCTAATGTAAAGATAACACAGCAGCGCCCTCTCCTGGCAGAAAAGACAAATCAAACTTTGCTCCTGCTTAGCTGATCTCCTGCTCCTCCGTGTATTATTGACTTATTTATTTCTTTATATTTTACATATGCATTAACAAATAAAATGTATGGAATAAGAAAAAATAAGAATGAAAAATAAGAAAGAAAAAAGCCCAAAACTATTTTTCTAAAATGTCCTTTCCGTGTGAGAAAAAGCTATACGTAAAAAGCTCCCAACTTTCCAAGTCATGTTTTCCCCCCACTGTCTTATCAGTTTTCTGCTCTGAGAAGTAGACTGTGGACTCTGCCAGTGCAACACCCCTCATTTTTATTTATTGTTTTTAAGATGAACTTTGGTCCCTGCTGAGGACTGAGGGAGAAGGGACAAAGTTCGCAGGGCGCACGTAAGGAGGAGGGGGTGAATAGGAGGAAGGTTAGATTAAAAGAAAATTGACCTTTGAAAGCAAAAACAACAAGTGAAAAGCTAAAACCGGACAGCTCTGGACACATCGGGAGGATTCAGCAAAGGAAAATGAAAGTTTACTTTCTCATGAGCTGAAGAGGGACTGCAGATATAAAATAATGGGGCCTGGCACTGGCTGTGTGGCTGTCGTTTGAGCGTGGTAGTGCACATGAGAGCAGTGTTTGTTTGCGAGGCAGTAGTGAGGTAAGACATAAGACTAATGGAGGTAGAGGAGAGGGCTGAGGCAGCCAAAGCAGGGCCGAGTCGTTTGACGGCCCTGCAGGAGCAGCTGATCTGGGCCCTGCTGGAATCTGGACTGTCCCGGGAGGTTCTGATCCAAGCCATGGGGGAACTGGAACGAAACAGGGCAAGTGCTGGCAACGAGAAGGGAGAAAGGGGGGATGGAGAGAGCTCAGAGGAGGGAGAAATGGATTTCCCGCCACCTATATACCGAGAACTGGAGAAGCTCCCTCCAGAGGAGGCGTCCAAACTGAGGACTGAAGTCGAGCACCTACTGCAGTAAGTAGATCCTGGCACTTCTCTGGAAGCTTAATGGCAACAGCGACAATCATCCTAATGTCTCGGTAACTGCTATTCTCACTCAGCAGCTTTTCCAGTAGGACCCGGTCGGATAAATTCTGAAAATTGACAACATCCTTGCCACCGCTTCTGATTCTCCTCGTCTTTGTGTTACCTCCCGTGTGTCAAAACCACACACTTGAGAGTCGAAGCAATACTTTACGCATTTACCTGTTAACACCACTATTCCTATTGTCTTCTTACACTCTGTCCCCATGTCTTTACCAAATCCTCCCTCCTTGCCATGCTTCTCTGACTCTCTCTCTGCAGTCTGGCTCTTGGGCGAATATAAAGAGGGTTCCTCCTTTGCTAGTTACTAATTACCCACCCTCATCATTATTCCCTGACCATTTCTTAATAAATAAGCCAAGAGCCTGAGGTGAAGATTAATAGAGCAGAGCTAGTCATGTGAGACTGTGTTTGCGCAACGCATGAGTGATTTTTGTCCGTTCCGTTTTAAGGCCTGATCCTGAAAATATGGAACACAGACATATAAACATTGGACATTCTGTCATAAACATTAAATGTTTAAAAAAGTGGGGGGAAAGCTCGCTCTAAATAGGATTGTTTAAAAAAAAAAAAAACTACTAATTTTTGCCGATACCTTTACCAAAATGTTTGGAAGCTGTTTGAGACTTTCAAAATAATTTGGTGTGTCTTTAATGACGTTTTCAACTTGATAATTAGGAAGTGTTAAATTAGGCTTCATAAATCTTTTACATGTTTTCCATTCCAGTGATCTGAAAGGGCTGGACTTTGTTCCCCCGTGCTCTCTCTTATCTCTCTTTGTCAACAAACCTCTCTTTGTGTGGTCATATTTTACATCCCTACTGATGTGACAAACTGCCTGGTTAGCACTTCTACATATACTGGTATCTGTTAAGGAAAGTCCACTAAATAAAAATGCACAAAACTATAAGGTGGGCAGTTTATAAGCTCAGGTGTCTGTCTGTCTGACAGTGGGGATCCCTGGCATGTTGCAAAAATGGTAAAAAGCTACATGCAGCAGCATAACCTACCTCAGCGGGAGGTGGTGGAGTCCACGGGACTCAACCAGTCTCACCTCTCCCAGCACCTCAACAAAGGCACGCCCATGAAGAACCAAAAAAGAGCTTCTCTGTACACCTGGTATGTCAAGAAGCAGTGCGAGATCAGCCAGCGTGAGTACACAAGCCGTGCTGGAGCTCCAAGAGTGCAAAAATAAAAGAAAAATGTGAGGTGTTTAAAAACAACAACAAAAACCATGCTAACTTTTTAAATGTAGAATTTACCAATGCCAAACATGGCCTTGCAACTGTGAAGGAGCAAGGGGAGGACACCAAGAAAGGACGGAGGAACAGGTTCAAGTGGGGTCCAGCATCCCTGCAGATCCTCTTCCACGCCTACGAACGACAGAAGAACCCGAGCAAGGAGGAAAGAGAGGGGCTGGTGGAGGAGTGTAACAGGTGAGACGGGATTTTGATTTTGTGTTCATTTATCTTGTTTTTATAGGGTTGCTGTGACACTTATCCAGACCCAAACTATATGTGAGAACTTTAACATGATTGATCTAAATTCTTGGCATCTGATCATACATTTCTATAGATTCATAACAATTAACACTTGTAATAAAGATTGTAATAAAGAGAGTCTGATTTCCTCTTTCAGGGCAGAATGCCTCCAGAGGGGCGTGTCTCCCTCCCAGCTTGCTGGCCTCGGCTCTAACCTGGTCACTGAAGTCCGAGTGTACAACTGGTTCGCTAACCGTCGGAAAGAGGAGGCTTTTCGTCACAAACTGGCCCTCGACACGCCTTTCGGCAGTCAGACTGCCTCATCCTCCAACGCCAACCTTCCACCCAGTCCCGAGCACGGTAATAACCCATCCTCATGTATGGAAATTTGAGAGGGAAATCAGAATGGCTTAGAGACATGACTCTACTGGTTGTGCTGCTGGATGCTCATATTTACCTTTATTCTATTTAGACTTGGAGCAATCGACCAAAGTCAGCTGTGATGTGTGTAAACCACGAACCTTATAAATGTTCTGGGACTGACTGGATGATTGTTGTTTCCCCAGGTGTGAAATACGGCCAGCACATCCCATGCGACACTGTGAGCTCAGCCAGAGGCAGCGGAGGGGAGAGAGTGGGGCATCTCATGGTGAGTCCAGTCCAACTGGAGCCAAGCCACACACTCCTCGAGACCCATAACCCCAAGCTGGTGAGAGCTCGTGTCCGGATCCCTCGTGGTTCAATATGCTAAATTACCAGCTGCCCTAAACATGCCATCCTCTGGTTTCAGGTGTCCAGCGGTGGGCCACTACCCCCAGTAAGCACTCTAACCTCCCTGCACAGTCTGTCTGCCTCACCTGCATCCTCACAGAGCCTCATCATGGCCTCAGTGCCCAGCGTCATGAGTCTGGGGGAGTCCTCCCTTCTCATTGGTAACATTGGTTCCCTTTATTTCCCATTTTGTAATAAGAGGAAAAATTCTCAGACCAACATCAATGCTGTTTCACAGGTTTAGCCTCCACGCAACCTCAGACGGTGCCTGTCATAAACAACATGGGAGGCGGTTTCACAACCTTGCAGCCCATCTCATTCCAGCAGCAGCTTCACGCCTCTCCTCAGCCGCCAATACCACAGCAGCTTCAGAGTCACATGGCTGCCAGTCCGTTCATGGCAACCATGGCACAGCTGCCATGTCACAGTAAGACTGCAGTAACATGAAGACTAGAGCTCAACATGTCATCCCCGAGTAAAGATTCATTCATCTGTTTGTCGTTCCAGTGTACAGCAAATCGGATTCGCCCCAGTACCACCCGTCCAGTTTGCTCTCACAAGCCATGGTCATCGCAGACAGCAGCAGCCTGACCAGCCTCACTGCTGTCAGACAGGTACTGGGACTGACCAGAGCTCAGTCTGTTCAGAGCATCTAGTTTTAAAACCTAAATCATTGATTTTTGTTTCGGGCAGATTCTGACCACAGACCCTGAGGAGCAGGAAGACGCACCTTTACAGGAAGACTCTCTAAACATGCAACCACACTCACCTGCACCAGGTACAAAGATGTAAACAGCATGTAAATGTAGGGACTGATAAAGGGATAGAGATTGATGATATGATGTTGACAGGAAAGTTGGATATATTGCAGGAGACCAGAGCTCTTTCTGTCACCTGGATTCACTGACAATCAGGAGAAACGGTCCCACGAGTTGATCAAGGGTTCATATGAAAGGGGTGATGTCGGCAGGGTCTGAGCAAACTGAAAGGGGCGTTTTACAAATCATGACCTCCACAAAAAATGATTCACTGGAATTAAGACTGATTTTAGTGCTTTGTGCTATAAATCACCAGATTATCAATTTTCTGCAGCATTCATCTGATCCTTTTAATAACAGTCGTATCTATGTTTATAGATCTTTAATCACCATTTGATACCTTTCTCATTCCCGTCACAATGTGATGCAGTTTGCACTTCATTCGGTGGGTTTAATAAGGCACGGCTTAACACGCCGAACATTTAAAACTTATTCATCCAGCAGAATAAAACATGCTGCGAATAAAAGCATCAGTAAAAATGTGAAACTGAAACTCAAAACATAACCGGCTCCTGACAGTTTGAGTTTTATTCCTTCAGCTGGAGACTGGGTGCCGTTTACAGCTTGAGAGTAAAGACTAAATATAAAAATAGAATTCAACCTTAGTGGAAATTTGATATGAGGTCTTGAAAAAATAAAATTGTTGTAAAATTGTTTAGCGCCGACAGGAATAAAGTTGCATGTAAAAATCTATATTTATATATTCATTATTACTGATGCTCCATGAACTTGTTCATGCATGGAGATCTGCCTGATTCCAGGGATAGTGATGCTATTTTTGGGAGATTTGGTTGGTCAGGTGGTCCAGGTAAGGTTCACGGCATAAGATTAGATTAGATGAAACTTTATTAATCCCTTGGGTTAACCCTGAAGTTATCTGGATAAGCCAAAATCTGGCTTCATAGTACAGGCCTCAGGTGGAAGCAAACCAAGGCCATGAGTATTGGAGGTGGATTCAAGATGTTCTACCGTGCTGTAGACAGGAAGAAAAATGGATTAGGGGTGATCCTGAAGGAAGATTATGTGAAGAGTGTCAGACAGGCTCACGAGTTTGAAGCTGGAAATCGAAGGGGTGATGCTAATGCTTTGGAGAAGATGGTTTTGACAAAATAACAGGAGGCCGAGCTGGTGTTAAGATTTTCATTGGGAGTGAGCAGGATGGACAAGATTAGACGCTGATTAGATGTTGAAGATGGAGCTGCCAGGGAGGAGGAAAAGACAAAGAGCACAAAGAAGGTTCATGGATGTAGCGAAGGAGGACGTGCAGAGGGTTGGTGTGACAGAGGAGGGTGCTAGAGGTGAGATGGAGGCATATGATCTGCTGTAGAAACCCCTAAAAGGAGCAGCTGAGAGGAGACCATGAAAGCAGACGACTGCACAAAGCCAAAAGCTGACATTTACCCATTACATGGTGCATAGAGCAAGGCTGGCTACAGCGCATAAGCCAACAGGGTGGTTAGCTAGTCCATCAGAGATGTTTCATTATTTACTTCTTATCATGTGTACATCAATTGACTGATATCAGCAACTCTTTTTTACCTTCTACACCTTCACAGAAAAGAACCCAAAGATAATAGACTCTCAGATGTCTTTGTAGCCTGATCCTCATAAATGTCCCAACACAAACACTGTTTTCAAACAATCTGAAGCCTCTTTTCTTTGCTTTTTTAAATTAACAGTTTCATCCGAGAGCCTCGAGCTGTATCCTTCCTCTCAGGCGACAGAAAGCCATCAATCTCACCTCCTCTCACCGTCTCCAACAGAAATCAGCTCCTACATCCCTGCACAAATGGTTTCCACAGCACAGTAAAAGAGTCTCCTGACTGTCAGCTGGATTCAGGAGTGAATCGGGACGTATGCCATGTAAGCTTGGGGCCAGTACTACAAAGCAAGTTCAAAATACCCAAAATACTGGCTTCATCCACCCCAAGATCAGCATTCAGAATAAGTAGTCACCCGAAAGCTGTTATGAACTTGATACGTCAAACCAGGGTCTTTCCAATCTAGATCTGACCAATCAGAAACGTGGACAAGCAGTGCAACTAACAGAAGATAAAACTACAGAAACAGAAACACGAGCAGGTAAGGTCTGCAGCGTAGGTTACCATGAAGATGTACCAAAGTAAGAAGCAGGTCGCCTTCATAACACTGAAAACCCAGAGTTGCACCTGAGCGATGACACTGTTTGACTCAAACGTCAAACTGTCACTGAAACGAGGACACAGGAAATTCACTCGACACAGAAAATCAACGGAAGATTAACACTGACGTGTATTTTTTTATTCAAATATTTGTAAATGTTTTAGAATTTAAACAAAATGTAAACTGATCTGAAACTTGTCATCAGCATGTTACCTGCATTTTTTTTT